CATCCGGGACCATGTACATCATATCTGTCTCTTTATCCATCTAGAGATGAGTTCGCTGAGGAATTAAGGATGCAATTAGTACAGATAGTAGAGACTTTAGATAGGAAAAATGAAAGGAGAATAGAGGAGATGCGTTTCTACATAGATCAAAAGTTTGATTGTGTTGCATCTTTGTATACATAAATTGACGAGAATGTATCATACGTTGTGTAGTGGATTAAGAATTCTAACCCATCAACACCTGACATATATCACTCTCCTCCTTGTGGTGGATTTATGAATACTGGAGAGGAACGTGTTGGTGTGAATGAGGATCCAATTCTTGTAGATGTGGAAAATGATGAGAATGAAGATGACAATGAGCAAAGACAAACATGTGATGAATTGTTGGTAAATGAACATGTGGAAATAGATGGCAATGAACCAAAACAAATAGCTAATGTGAATGAGGATCCAATTCCTGTAGAAGTCGAAAATGAGCAAGGACAAGTAACATACACGTTGAATGATGATCAAACTCATGTGGAGTCCGTCCTTGTAGTGGTAGAAGATGAGTCTGATGACTTAAGTCAGAATGGAGCGGAAGGAGAATTAAGAAAATGTCACTCGTTCTTCGATCTCCTTTTACAAATCCAGAGAAGAAAAGGAAGCTTGACAATATCAACACATTTGACCCATTTCGAGAGCTTGATCCGTCTAAGGCATATAACTTAGAGAATTGGTTGGTTAATGCACCTGATAGGTAACTATTTTTAGTGTAATTGTTTTTGTGAAGTTACAACATATATATTCTTATGTGATTTATTTAATGCAGTGAACATGTTGAAATGATATTGTTTATGAAGCCAAAACTTTTTTTTGAAGATATTCAGAAGCAGCATGCATGGCTCAGTAATAATGTAATCTTTTTAACATTCTATATTTTGCTCCTACTTCATTTTATTTTTAATAGTTATATACATTTGCAGCACATTGACATTACATCTATATTTTGCTCCTACTTCATTTCATTCTTAATAATTGTATACATTTGTAGCACATTGACATAGCATTGTACTTGATGAGGACACAAATGGAGACACATCCTACTGTGTTCGCACAAAATTATGCTTTTACCAATATGTGCAGTAAAAGGTTTGAAGATTTTGAGTTGCATACGAAAGAAAAAAAGCCAGTACATGACTTCAAATGGTTGAAAAATATGTCAAGATACATATATGGTAAAAGTTTGGAGAGGAGTAATCGATGAGATTCTTGTACGTTGTTGTATATTCCCTGAAATGTGGAAACGAAGCACTGGATTACTCTTTATGTGGACATTGTCGAGCGAACTATATACGTATACGATAGCATGAAGAGTAGCACACGTTTTGGAAAATTACAAAAAATCATGCGTCCAATTGTGAAGGTGATTCCTAGAATTATGAAGGAAAGTTTGTTGTTTGGGGAAGATTATCTAAAAAAGCAGTTTTATTGATGTCATCATGCAGATGTTCCCCAACAAAACAATGCACAAGTTATCCATATTTAGCCTTCTTTATATTTTCCTTTCTCTGATACTATATATGTTATATTTCTTATTGCAAATATCTATGCAAGGGAGATTGCGATATATACACTATCAAGTTTATAGAACTTTTGTCGAATGGATTAAACGTAAAACTTATATCTGATGATATGATTGATTGTTGGAGGAAGAAACTAGCTGCTGAAGTTTTTGCTATGCATTTTGATCCATAATTGTTTTCTTTGTATATTTTTCAATTTCATGTGGTCGAAAGACATAAGATTTAGATGATAATCTTCTCTAGATGGTAGTGTTTTGTATGATGTAGTTGGAAAACAAGTGCATGGATGCTGATTTTGTGTAGTTAGTGCTATTTCATACAATCGGAGGACTTATGACTTAGATGCTAATCCTGTTTAGATGGTAGTGTTTTGATTGATTTAGTTGGAAAACAGGTACTTGGATGCTGATTTTGTCTAACAGCATGTATATTTATGGAATAACAGATTGTATTATTAACTGAAAAATGCTGGTCGGCCAGGGTGAAAGACCGACCAGAATCCAGGTAGCTGAGGTGTCATCACCTCAGCCCCTAATTTAAAGGAAGAGGACCCCACATGAATTAAAATCAAGGGCCTAGGTGCATCCAGCTCGGCCCCCTGGATTTGGGCCTGGTTTTGGCCCTGGATCTGCAGCATCTCTCATTATTGACTATGCAAATTAATCAGTCTGAAAAACAGCAGTCATACGTTTAAAACGACAACATGCCGTTTTGGGTCACAAGCTATTGATTTCACATTGACACATTGATTTCACATTGACACAATCTTGGAATATCATGGATGACTTGTCGGGGCTGAATGAATTTCACATCTACCTTTGAATAGAGTTGTCCCCGTGATCTGATCCTTGACAAGAAAATAATTGGGGTGAAATTCAAGAAAAACTTTGTTTTGAGTTGTAAAATGGTGAACGAAGATTAAGTTCTTGCGAATACTTGGAACACAAGGTGTGTCTTTTAAGTGGAAGGTGCGTGTGGGTGATTGAAAAACCAATGAACCAATATGCGAGACACGCAAATCTGTACCGTTACCTATGACAACTTCAT